AAGATTTATTTATTTCTATTTTATGCATGTGAATGTTTTACCTGCATATATGGAAATGCACCACATGCATGTGGTACACATGTGATACCAGAAAAGAGTATCAAATCCCCTGGAACTGGAGTTACAGATTATTGTAAGCCACCATGTGGGTGCTGGGAACTGAACCCGGATCCTCTGCAAGAGTAGCCAGTGCTCTTAACTGATGAGCATCTCTCTAGCCTTGTGTGAAAGTTTTTAAGAGTAGAATTCGGTACTGTTTTGAATGGGGGGGTGCCATTGTTATTGTGATAGGGTTTACTGTGAATCTGTAGATCATTTTGAGTTCTATAAACATCTTAACAATATCAATTCTTCCAATCCCCAGGCATGAGCTATCCTTTCATTTATTCATATCTTCCTCCACTTCTTTCAACAATATTGTGTTTTTATGGTTCCTGTGTGTGTGTGTGTGTGTGTGTGTGTGTGTGTGTGTGTAGAGGTCAGATGGTAACCTGGGGTGTCCTTCCTCAGGACCCATCTATCTTCCTCAGGACCCACTTATCTTGTTTTTTGAGACAAGTTCTCCCATTGGGACCTGAGGCTAGCTGGCCTGCAAGCCCCCAAAATCTGCCTGTTTCTATCTCCCCAGCACTGAGATTATAGGTGTCCATTTTCACGTGGGCACTGGGGATTGAACTCAGTTCCTCATGCTCACATGGCAAGCACTGTATTGACTGAGCCACCTCCCCAGCCCATCTTTCAGCCACATTGTTACTCACCATTGCATCCCTAACTGAATTCAGTTATTATTTCTAACAATGTTTGCACAATCTTTAAGATTTTCTAAATATAAGATCATGTCATCTGTGAACAGAAACTATTTCTCCCTTTCCAATTTGGATGCCTTTGTTTCTTTTTCCTAGTTATTCTGGTTAAGACATCCAATATTTTGTTGAAGACAAGTGAGGAGTGGATAGCCTTGTTCTCAATATTAGAGGAATGACTCCCAATCTTTCCACATTCAGCATGTTAACTGCAGGCTTTTGGGATGCCCTATATTGTTTGGAGGTAACTTCCTTCTATTCCTAGTTGATGTTTTGATCAAGAAAGGAGATTGAAACTTGTCACCGCTATTTTTTCTGCATCTGTTGAGATGATCCTGTGTAGAGCGGTCACTGTATCACTCTTTTCTGTCATTCTCTTGATGTCATGTATTGTGTAGACTTATTTATTTTTATTTTATGCTCAAGTTTTTCTCGTGCTGTAAGTTTTTGTTTCTTCGGTTTCTTTAGTAATGTCTTTTTCTTCTTTGCAGCCTCCTCTTCCTGCTTAGAAACAATTTTCTCCTTTTCAGAAGCATCATTTCAATGGGGCAGGGGAGCTCATGTATGAGTTAATCCAACCATGAGCTCTATAAGTTCTGCATCATATCGAGTCATTTGTTCAATGACTCAAGACTAGAGACTCTATATCTAAACCCTTAAGTTCAGCTTTTTTAAACATGCACGGCAAAAGTTCAGCACTCTTTTTGAGTCACTGACCCTGTGTCCAGCCCCACTGTTTAGCCTGAGCACACCTACCAACTCCACCATTATATGGCCAGAAGGGCACACATTGCTTCTTTAAAGCGACACTTGGTAGCTTTTTGGATATACATACTCTTGATGGCCTGGGCAGTTTCACAGATGTTTTTAAAGTGAACATGGAGATTTGAACCTCTCAATTTACATACTCAGGTTGCTTAAAGGAAAAGAATGGATGTATTTCTATATGTTGGGCTATCCTTGCATCCCAAGAATAAAGGCTGCTTGATCATGGTGTATAAGTCTTTTTACATGCTATTAAATTCTGTTTGCTAATGCCATACTAATCATCTCTGTATTATTATAGCCCTCGACCTCCACTGTTTTACCTCCATTGTGTTATTTGGAGACCCTCAGACACAGCTACAGCAACTGGAAATCATCTTTCCAGAACATGAAGCATAAGAGGCAGGGCAGGATTTCTAGAGACGTCCAGGAATTGATGGACACCTCAGCTGTGTCAGCCCTCCTTTGACTTATATAGGGCTCAGAATTGTAAAATGAAGTATCATTTGGTTTTAAAAGGGAAACTGTACCCACCATATGCACACAGATGCTTACATATGCACAGAATGTTCTTGAAGTATGAGCCATCAACCGGTAAAAGATTCATTCTTTCACAGGAGAAAAAAAGTCGGCGGATGAACAACTGGGCGTTTGTGTGTGTCGTTGCAAATGAGTTCAATGTGCATTTCCCCTCCACCCCTACCTCTGCCCCCACACCCATGCTGGGGATGGAGCCCCAGGCCTTGCACCTATAGGCAAGTGCTGTACTACTGAGCTGCATCCCAAGTCCATTTTTTTTCAAGATGCAAAAATGTTCTTTGGTCAGAATGTAGACACCAAAGAAATTCATAAAATGAGGAGGTCTGGGTAGAATTCTGTTAATAATCCTGGATGGAATTATCGCTGCATGAGAAGCTGACAGTCCTGTGTGACTCACCAAGCCTTCCTGTTTATTTCTTGGGGCACAAGACAGGAAAAGAGGAGCCAGACATTTTTGGGAAATGCCCACAATGGTGGCATGCAGGAAACTGACACCTTTATCTTCTCAGTCATTATATGTCTGTTCATTTTAGATCTGATGAAGAAAATTAATTTTTCTGTGGACTCATTAAACTGAAACACAGGTTAGAAAGGGACATCTGATGCTTACTTTCGTAAAGGTAGTTAGTTGGGTATGTCTGTGTTGAGACCCCTAAATTCCTCTTCTAAGTAAGAAAACTTGGGACTGGAGAGAAGGCTCAGCAGTTAAGAATGCTGGCTGCTCTTGCAGAGGACCCAGGTTTGATTTCCAGCACTCACAAGGCAGCTGACAACCATCTATAACTCCAGTTTCAGAGGAATCTAATGCCTTCTGATCTCTGTGGGCACTGCACATCACCGGATACACTTACACACATGCGGGCAATACACTCATATACATAAAATAAAAATAATAAAATCTCTTTTAATAAAAGAAAACTTGCCTTGATGGCATAATACAAACCCAAACCAACCTCGCGAGACTTTCCCCTCTTTTCTGTAAGAGAGGTGCTGAGGGAAAAAAATTAAACAGGCAACTGCGTCTAAGAGCATTTGCAGGAAAAATAATGAAGGATCCCAAAATTCCACTCATTCATGGGCAAATTGGCGAATGGTTACAAGATCTAGTCAAGGGATAGGTGACTAGTATCAAAGGTTAAGGATCCAAAATGATGAAAGTCTAAAGTTAAAAGCCAATGTTATAATTTGCTGCTTCTGGTTTTGTCTTATTTATAAATAGGGAACCAGAAGTTGAACTCCCAAATACAACTTTTTGTTTAATATTTTATTAATTTTATTTTTTGGTACCTGGGTGTATTGTCTGCATGTTTGTAAGTGCACCCATGTTGTGCAATGCCTGTGGAGGTCAGAAAAGAGTGTGAGATTCTTCTGGGACTGAGTTACAGATGGTTGTGAGCTGCCATGTGGGTGCTAGGAATTGAACCCGGATCCTCTGCAAGAGCAGCCAGTGCTCTTAACCGCTGAGCCATCTCTCCAGCCCCCCAAATACAATATTTTAAGAATTGTGTTTCTCTTTTTTTAATGCCTTCTGGATAATTTTTGATATTTTTTATTTTTTGGTCTTTTTGAGACAGGGTCTCTCTGTAGCCCCAGCTGTCCTGGAACTATGTAGACCAGGCTGGCCTTGAACTCACAGAGATCCGCCTGCCTCTGCCTCCCGAGTGCTGGGATTAAAGGCGTGCGCCACCACGCCGGCTTGCTTTTTAATTTTTTGTTAGCATACATCCATTGTATAAAACAGGATTTCATGGTGACATTTTCAAACATGTATATCATGTAGTTTGATCCTACCCACCCCATTTCCTTCTCTTGTCACCTGTTTCCCCTTCCCACATGTCCCGTTTCTCTTCCCAAAGAGTTTTCCTTCTACTTTAATGCCATATGCATATATATCCATGACACATAAAGTATATATTGTGTTTCTTAAGTAACTTCTAAAATCAGTGCATCTATCAAGAACTAAATGGTAGTGTGATAGTTAACACTGTCAACCTGAAAGGATCTAAACTAACCTAGGAGACAAACCTCTGAGCATGCCTGTGAGGGATTATCTAGATCGGGATTAGTGGAAAGATACAGCTGAAAGGCAGCACCACTCTATAGGCTGGAATCCTGGACTAAATAGAAAGGGAAAAATCAAGCTGACAATAAGCAATCCTCTTTCTTCCTGACTATGGATGCAATGTGAACAGTTGGCCTCCTGCTTCTACCACCAGGCCTTCCCCTCCATGATGGACTGTGTCCCCCTGGAACTGTAAGAAAATAAACTCCCCCTTCCTTAGGTTCCTTAGGTCAGGTATTTTGTTGAAGCAATGAGGAAAACTAACGCCGGTACCTAGTGGATGCTAGAGTAGACTGTTAGAAATATAAGTTCCTGGGGCTGGAGAGTTGGCTCAGCATTTCAGAGCACTCACTGCTCTTGCAAACGACCTGGGTTCGATTTCCAGCACCCACATGGTGGCTAACAACCATCTGTAACTCCAGTTTCAGGGAATCCAATGCCCTCTTCTGACCTCTGCGGGCATTGCATGACACGGGTGCACATATACACATGCAGGCAATTCAGACACATAAAATAAAAATTATAAAATAATTTTTAAACAAAGAAATACAGGACTGGAGCAATAGTGCAGTGGTTAAGAACACTGACTGTTCTTGCAGAAGACCCAGGTTCAAACCCGACACCAACATGGCAGCTAACAACTGTCTGTAACTCCAGTTCCAGGGGATCCAACAGTCTCGTCTGTCCGCTGTGGGCATTGCACGACACAGGTGCACTTACCTACATGCAGGCAATACACACATATATATAAAATAAAAATAAAATATAAAATATAAAAAAAGAAAGAAATACAAGTTCCCCCAGGGAGAAAAGAACACATTGCAGAGCGGCATACTTGATAAACTTTATTTACCAAAAAAAAAACAAAAAACAATAATTTATGCCCTTGACAAAATAAAAGATCTTATAATATAAATGCTTCTTAGAAAATATATGAAAAGATAATATAACAAATATTAATAAGTCAATATTAACATGGCAGCAAAAATTATCATGATTCCATAACAAGGATAAATGAGGATACTTCTAGCCTTTATGCAGCAATATTTCTGGGAAGTTATCTGGTCTCTTAAAGTGAGATGTGTTCTCATCTGGGGAAAACCTGATACATACAAATCTAAGCTTGGGAAGTTGATCAGTTAGAAAGTTGATACTTAGTTTCATCACAAATAAGTGTTTACAAAAAAATATACACAAAAAGTTTTCTGTCAAGGATCCTTTAAATAACAAATTTCCTAATGTGTTTAGAATATAATGAACCAAATTCATGTGGCCATTTCTTTCCTGGGGTTTCTCTATTACAAAAAAAGTGAGGTATGCCTAACATGAGGCAGCAATAGAGGTGGGCTGCAGACTTGACTGGAAAGGAGGCTCTTAATTAGAGCAGAAGGAAATGGTTGTGAGTGCAAGTTCCCATCCTGTGCTCTTGTTTTCCCATTTGCCCCAACTCTCAAGAGAAAAGGAAATCACACAGGCGGGGGCAGGGTGCAGGTAAATGAACTAGGGAGTCACTCCAGGAGAGCAGGTGGAAGAAGAATTTGGGGTTCCGAGTGTAGATTGAATGCAACTGGGGAAGAGCAGAAATAATCCTCAATTCTTGATGTGGCACTTTTGAGGTCCCTCTCCCAGAAGAGACATGTGACTCTCTGAGGAGCAGCAGCCAGGGTTCAGCTCTCCTCGATCAGATGAATCTTAAGGAGAATGGATGAGGGACTATTTGTCACACTCCTCCTGGCTGCCTTCAGCACTGTGGTAGTGCTGCTCACAGAACTCCTGGATCCGGCTGCAAGCCTCCAGCATCATCACCTCAGGGACTGTGATGACCACTCGGAAGAAATTTGGGTACTCGAAACACTGCAAAAGTAAGTGCTTGTTATTTCCAGGGCAATCAAATCTGATACTGGCTCATCTTTAAATGGCCAGGCCCAGGACTAGAGAGATGGCTCAGTAGTTAATTGCCCTTGCTACTCTCAGAGAACCCAGGTTTGGTTCCCAGCACCCACTTGGCACCTAACAACCTACTATTACTCCAGTTCCCAAGGGATCTGACACCCTCTTCTGGCCTCCACAGGCATTGCTTGCACATGGTACACTTACATGCCAGAAAAACACTCATACACATTTTTTTTAATTAAATTAAAAACATTTTAAAATGGCCAGGCCTCTCATCAGCAAGAAGGGGTAATGGCATTTCATCCTGGGTCTCAGTTCACTCCCTGTCCCCACTGGAGTGCTAAGTCAGTAACTGAATTAGTTCATCTTAAAATAGAATGTAGGACAAAGCTCTCTTACCTGCAATGTCTTTGTGTGTGTGTGTGTGTGTATGTGTCTGTGTGTATGTGTGTGTGTATGAGTATATTTCCTGCATGTATGTAAGTGCACCCATGTCGTGCAATGCCCAAGGAGGTCAGAAGAGGGTGTCAGATCCCCTGAAACTGCAGTTATAGACAGTTGCTAGCTGCCATGTGGGTGTTGGGAATCGAACCTGGGTCCTCTGCAAGAGCAGCCAGTGCTCTTAACCACTGAACCATCTCTCCAGCCCCTGCAATGTGTCTTTACAACTTTTCTTTCTGTTGCAGAGGGGTAATGATGGGGGAAAAACTAAATAAAAGTCATGAAACATATCCATTAGAATGGTATCAAATGAGAGTTTTTGTTACTGGAGTAAGAACAGGATAAAACGCAGCTTGGAGAAACCTCCAGAGTCTCTGGGAACTGCTATGAATGTCCTAGAAACACCAGCACTCACCGTTGCTGGGAGGCAGTGGACAGACTGCTCAGCAACTAACCGCTCCGTGAACTCCACATCATTCTCAAATTCTGGGAAATGTTCCATCTCAATTCCAACCTGTATCAACAATAAAAGGGTGAGGTAAACTTATCAGAAAGAGGAACACGGGCCAATTTCCTATGCCAGAAATAAGAGTACGGACTCCTTTAAAAGCTATCTTGGAACTCTACTGCCCGTAACTGAGAGAGCTAGTGCTTAGGAACTCACAGAACTTCTCTCAGGGAAGAGAATATATATATA